TGACGGGCATGCAGCCCAAGGAGACTGTGAGCCAACCCTTTGGTCTGGATGACTTCCCTCTTGTCAAGCCTGTTATACCACCCAATCTGATTGTTATTTCCACACTGTCTTTGAAATCGTGCACTGTTGTCAATAAACAGAATTATGCTTATTTTCTATTGATAATTTAATTTTAAATAGGGTTCATTGGGTATCCTTTGAAGCCTTAGTAGACACTAGTGCGACAGATAATTTAATGAGTTTAAAGCTGGCCCAGAAGCTTGAATTGGACTAGGACCTAGGTCCGGCAGTGATAGTCACATCATCAGCTATACAGCCATCCTTTAGGGTGTAGCGCCCTGTGTCTTTCTTGGTAAATCATTCTGCTTTTGTGATCGGTTTTCAGTGATTCCTGACTTGGTGTTCCCACTCATATTGGGTGTGGGATGGTGGCAGCGCCAGCAAGTGAAAATCCAATTTGGATTTAACACACTGTTTTTCACCAATACCCAGATAAAGGCCAGTTTCCTCTTCTCAAACTTTTTATAAATTCCAGAACCGTGGCTCCATCTTGATGCTTGTTTCCCATGTGGGCTTTCGCCAGATTTCCCTCCAGCGTTGATAGCCTATTAATATATTTTCAATTTGGACAAAGTGAACTGCCTTCTGCCGCATACCAAATTTGACTTGTCTTTTTGTATGACGGTGGCTGTTGTTAACATTAATTGCCTGCTGTACCCTTACACAGCGAAGGAGAATAAGGCTTTAGATGCATGGTTGGATGATATGTTCAATAGGGTTGGGTATTTAAGGAGATGTCCCCTATTGCCTCACCAATTGTTTTCACAAAAAAGCTGATGGTATGCTGCGCCCCTACGTGAACTACAGGCACTTGATTAATATCAAGGTGCATGACCCCTACCCCATCCCTCTAGAGAAAACCATCAGTCAGGCAATCATGAAATTCCAGGTGTTTTCTAAGTTCGACCTTATAAATACCTATAGCCAAATTCAAGTGGCTGAAGGCCAGGAATCGCTGACCGCTATTCAGACAAAGAGAAGATTATTCTAGTTTTGGGTGATGCCGTTTGGGCTGAATAATGCCCCAAAACGTTTCAGCAGATGATTGATAGTGTTAGGTGACCTCAGATTCACCTGAGCAGTGGCATACATTGATGATAACATATTTCAATCTTTCACCTGCTAGCAGCATGATAAGGATCTGGAGGCGGTGCTGGCCACTCTGAACAAGGTGGATCTTTTTGTTAAGCCATTTAAGTACAAATTCTATTGGAATAAGTTACTTTACTGGGTATTTAGTTCTAAAAGATGGATACAACGTACCTCCCAGTAAACTCAAAGCCATATGCGAGTGGCCCACCCCACAACCCAGAAGCAGTTGAGGAGCTTTCTGGGTACCATAGTATTCCTTAAAAAATTCTCCCCCACACTCTAACGGCTGGCCACGCTGCTGCACCCTCTTACTAGTAAAAATGTTCCATTCCGCTGGACTTTCAAATGTCAATAGGCATTTGAATCAACTAGAGGTGTTCTTATGGTCCCCATTCTTATATATGCAGACCCCACTAAACCATATAATGTAGCATGTGATGCATCTTCCGCCACAGTGGGCTGTTCTTCTCCAAGTGCATGGCAGTTTGGAACACCCAGTTGCCTATTTCTCCCATAAGTTTAGTTCTACTTAGCAGTCTTGGGCCATCTACAAAAAAGAGTAGGTTGCCATGAATTGGGCCCTAACTCACTGGCAGTACCTTTAGCAGGGTGCTCAACATGAGGTAACCATACAAATGTATCATGAAGCTCTCCTGTACTTTCGCAAGCTACAGAAATTAGTGTACTTATAAGCTTAAATTTCAGAACTTATACAGCTTCAACTTCAAGTATGAGTTTGTAAAGAGAGCGTTGAATGTGCTCCCCAACTTTCTGAATCACAACCCAGAACTATGTCTGGAGAAGGCGGACGAAAGAGACCTTATCACAGTTTACCACCAGCCCAAATTCTAGCTATTGCTCTTCCCACAATTTTGGTGGCAGATTTTGGGTTCAAATGCACCCCTGGTTTTGAGGGTCCTAGTGGCACAAACAGCTTGTGTGGAAGGGTTGAACTGTTAGATCAGTTAGTACTCCTGGCGCACAAACACCAGCTCTTTTCTTTAATTTAGAGGCTTATTCAATTTAGGTCATGCTTGTGGGTGCTGCCCCACCCTCACGACTAAGTCATCCAGGTGCACCATGACCCCCCTGCAGTGGGGCACCCAGGTAATAAGAGTTTCTCGACCTGATCAAATGGACCTACAACTGGCCAGGCCTGTCAAAGGATATTTAGTATGAATAACAAATTGTGTGACAATCACGTGGGCCAAGTAAGATAGATCAGTCAAGAATGGTCTTCTCCGTCCCCTGCAGCAGGCGGAGGGACCATAAAATTCAATATCTGTAGATTTCATTGTCAAGCTGCCAAGCTCCAATGGGTTTACAGCTATTTTAGTAGTCATAGATTGCTCTACCAAATATGCCCTCTTCATACCCTGTTCCTCAGCCATCACCTCTGAGGAGACAGCCAGACTGTTTGTGAAACATGTGTTCTCCATGTTTGGGTTGCTGCAGGGAATCATCAGTGACTTTGGCACTCAATTTACAGCATAATTCTGGAACAGACTTCTATCAATTTTAAGATTATGCTGTGACGCTTGACCGGGTACCATCCTTAGTCAGATGGTTAAACTGAGTAAGTGAATCAAATTTTAGAGTAATAACTCTGGTGTTATTCAGCAGCTGCTCAGAATACTTGGACGGATGATCTCTAGCTCACTCAGTTTGCATATAACAATGGCACTCACACGCCTACAGGCTTCTCCCCCTATGAGGCCACTTTATGTTATAACCATTCGTTTTCAGTAGGACTATGTCCTCATTCAGAGGTGCTGGCCGCAGCTGACCATGCATAGAAAATCTGCGCCACCCTGTCCTTGGTCCATGAACACTTAACCATGGCTATTGTTGACTATAAGCGGTTTACCAACTGGAAGCGCCTTCTGGCGCATAATGTTAAGGTGGGGTCACATGTTATGTTGGGCATGTGCCACCTGCGAATGCAGGTGCCCTCTTACAAATTAGCAGCAAACATTCTAGGCCTCATTAGTAGAAGAGGGTCTGGGTAATGATGAATTCAACTTGTTCTTTAGCTTATTGGAAGCAACACCCAAAATTCTATGTATCACAGTTGTCCCCGTTCAAGGGACCGATTCTTCTGGAACCTGGACCAATCATTATTGAGGGGTCAGAAGAGGCCAAATACAATGCTATCTTGGCTTCCTGTCATTCACGGTGATTGTCTCAATATCTAGTCGCTTAAAAAATTTAACCTGACTACAAGGATAGTTGGGTTGGTGCTTGGGACTTCACAAACTGTTCTGAGTTAATCAAAGCATACCATGCTGCTCACCCCGAGGCTCCCGCGCTCCTCAAAGGTTGCAACGCTAATGATGATCAAGCTACCAAAAGTTCATAATAACGTCGCCCTTACCCAGTTCCCCAGTGGGGGTGCTTCCCCTCTTGGAAAAGGAAAGGTAAAATGTAAGTCCAGGGGAGCACCCCTGCACTTTGACTGGGAGAGTTCTTATTTCCAACCAAGAATGGTCAAAAGAGCTTTTCCATCCCCCTCGTCACACAGGGCGATCTCTCTCATGTGGTAGATGAGCAGTGGGTTACAGCCTACCCTAAAGCCCTTCTATCCATTCACATTCTGACAACTAATAAATTGATGCAGCGTATCAAGGTGTTTCGCACCAAAGTCACAGTGGAAAGGTATTGACATGTGAAGATTAAGTGATTCTATCTGACACCGGGTTTGAGTTCCACTGGATTAATGAAGGAAATTGAACCCTCCCCTTTTGTGGAAAGGCGAGTTCTTTTGAATGTCAGAGAATTAAAAATGACCATGGAAACTGGGGGCGGTTAGTTGGGTGTCCTGAATCTGTTTCCAACCGATTGGGGCCATCCCTATGTGGAATGGCCATGGGAGGTCTCTGCTACACATTGAGTGAGATGACACCACTCAGGCAAGTTCAATCGCAATAGTGAATGTGATTTAGGTGCCAGAGGCTAAATCAACATCAACTTGGTCTTCTGCCAACATAGCCACAACAGTTTGAATTATTCCTATTTGAGTTACATTATTTAAGGTCAGAAAATTGAGGCCCCCACACCCATGCATGCCATATTATTCCCTAGTAACTGATTATTTAAGCAATCATCCCTGACAGGTATGATTGTTAACTAATTTCTTTACCTTATTTTGCAATAAAAAACGTTTTCACAAAATAATTTTTATTTCTGACTATCCTTGGTATCTGCTGTGAAAAGCAGCCCCAAAATGATTTTTTGGGTTGTAAAATGACTGGCTCTTGTGGCTAGCATAACACTATATGACCTACTGTCATGAACTGGTCATACTATAATTGGGACATCCTTAGACACTATTTGCTGGCTAAGCTATTTGGCATCAAATCTGTCGCTTTTGTTGTAGGCATTACCTCCCCACTAGGTGAGATTTCACAATATTGCCACTTGCCCTCGCTCCCACAACCCTGTGGGGATACCCAGTCCCATTGTTGTAGCACAAGAGTTTCCTTCATATAAATCCGCCTGCTCTTTAGTAGCAACAACTTGGGTATGCTGCTTTGCTTCCTACTATCATCTTGTGTTGCCATTTGTGGTTCGCCCACCTTCCATCCCCACTTTCAAGTTGTTAAAGCAGCAATTCCTTTACCATTCTGGCTTTCCTTTTGGGTGCTCATGCACTATGACTGGCAGGCCAGTCTAAATCTCATTTGCCGCTTTCATGGCAATTTCACCCAGACAGACAGACACAATAGCAAATATAGAAAAATATTTTAAAAAACTATTAAGAATATATACCCAAACAAAACTGGGGTAACATTTTGTTTTTTAAAATGCACAATATTCACACTTTTTTCAGTAATTATTGTATTGCCATCACAGGGGGTAGAAGGTGAGTTGGTAAGGCATATGGCTACCAACCTGAAGGCTGTGGGTTTGATTCCCGCCCTTTGCACATTAATCAGGGTGCCATCCAAAGGAAGCTATTGGCGTTTAGTAGGTCTAATAACACAAAAACCTTACCCATGACGTAACCAGAAAAATTTGAGTCACAATCCAGATGTGGAAAAACTTTCTATGATGGAGTTGACCATGCTCAGGTTTCATGTCAATGTTTACTATCTTCCTTTCTTCTAATAATGACCATCCCATGGTCAGCTTGTCTCAAATAAGTAAAAAATTGTATTGTCATCAGAGATACATAAGTGTGCCAAATTACAAAGCTCTAGCTAGTCGGGAAGGTAGTTAACTTAAAACTTTTGCATCAACTGAATATCAAAATGCTCAGCTGTAACTATATTCTGACTACCATCAGAAACATAAGAATTTTCACTCGAAACATTGTCCTTTTTTGACTATATAAATAAAATTTTTTCAATGAATATTGCATTATTATCAGAGATACATAAGTGTGCCAAATTAAAAATCTTTAGCTAGTCTAGAAGGTAGTTAAGTATCAATCACAAGATTTCATCACAGATAGAAAGACAGACAGACACCACAGCGAGTGGAGAAAAACATTTTAAAAGATTTTAGAAACTAAAACAGTTTATACTAGTCAGCTTACATACTGTCGCACAGGTTATAATTTATTGAATTCTTTACCCATTTTAAATGACATGTTGTTCAGAGGTCAAATTTTATTTGGGCTCTTTGGAGACTTGGTGATTCTAATAAATCAAAAACTAGTTTTTTATTGTAGGCTAGTTAACCCCAAAGAAATGCTTGGGTTTATAGTTTCCATGGAATTCTAATCAATTGTTATTTATCATGATCTATGACTTTAAGCTGAGGATCAATAGAAGTTTTTTTAAAGTCAGGATTTTACCCTTTTAGGTTAAGCCATATTCTGAAAACCTTGACATTTCCCTTAATGACAAATCTTGAGGTATGAAGCTAAAAGCCGATTAGGTTTCAATATTAATCCACCAAAGTGTCTAGATTCTCATAGGATAATGTCCTAACCAAATTAAGGATGACTTCATTATTATCTCATCCTACAAAGTGCTTTGTAGCAATCTTGTTATAATATTCCCTTTATTTAGTATTATTCCTTCCATAGCAACTAGATCTGATATCTCTCTTATTAGATATTCATATATCAACCTTTATTTATATCTAGTATTGATAACCCTTTTAAAAGGGTCCCAAATATTCAAATAAACATATCTGATTTTTTGTGACCCATAATCTTACTTATATTTTTTTATGATTTATGAAATTTGAGAGTCACAGATGGGCCTTTTTGAACCCTGAAGTGGCTAGACCATGTCCAAGGGCCTCAATGTTATGCTCAAAGTCTAGAACGTCTTCTGAGGATCCCAAATCCGTACACTTATTCTAAGCATTTTTCATATTTGAATTTACCCAAATTGAGGCCAACCTATCAGTTTGGGTATAGTACATTTATATAATACATAAGGGATTAAATTGTTCTGAATCCCATCCTAATATCTGATCCCCTTTACACTATCCAGCTTTGAGAGTCACCTAATCTTGGAATTGCAAACCCATTTTTCCAAGAGTGTTGCTCACTATATGGGCATCTCCAAGCTGGAATCAAGTGAAAATGTCTATCACGGCCTTCAGGATAATTTTCATTAAGTCTTTTCCTGAGTTGCAGTGAGATAGTGGTGGTGTTGTGAAGCCAGTAACCACAACATACAGCCTTTAAGCCATGGATCTGCTGAGACCGCCTTTGGCTATTAAGATGCCCTCTGGCTGGGGTGAGCCTGCCCAAAGCTAACGTCTAGCCTATTTAAATGGAAGAATCGCTGAGCTCTACGTATTTGTACTCCCAGCAAGGACCTGAAAATTTAGAATCTATTTGAGGTACACTGACCAGGGGATGTATATTACCAATACTCATTGAGAAAAAGAACTGAATGAACGGAGAAACAAAACAAAGAAAAACCTTTAACCTGGAAAGAGCGGAATACTGCTAAACCACCATGGCAGAGGGGGAGGGGGGACAGTAAGCTCTGCTACAGGCTTGTTGCTCATGACATAATCACAATGGTTGTAGTAGCGGATAAAAGTGGAGAGCCAGGGCGTTGGGGCATCAGCGTGGTGGGGGTGGATGTGGGTAAAATATTGGTTACCTTCCTCAATATCAGCTTGGAATACAGCTTCAACTAATTCCGTAGCATGATGTTCAGCTTGAAGGCGGGCATCTGGGAATTTGGCCAAACTGGTTATATTTTGCTGGGTGATCTTAGCAGATGGGTTGAATTCTGCTAGTTTTGCAACAAGCAAGACAGCGTCTAGGGCATCATCTTTCAATTTGATGATATTATCCTGTGCTGCTTCAGGGAAATCAGGGGGGTTGATTATGGTCAGCCCTTCATAGAATTAAGCAACTGATTGGGACACTGCTTTACAGAGATTGTGGCAATGAGATGAGGCCACCGCTGCTAAGGCTAGCTGGTGGTCCATAAAGGACCTGAATTGACTACTCAATTGATAATGAATTGACTTATTTTTATATGTAGGAATTTCCCCAACTGAGATAAGGTAGTGATTTCTGGATCATTATATCCATTCTTAAGTCCCCAAACCTAGCTAGGGTCACTAATTATGATTAAGACCAAAATGGTATGGGTGAGCCTGCCCCAGATCTAGTGGACTAAAATGGTATGGGTGGACCTGCACTGGTGCCAACATTTACCCAGATAATGAGACTTAAGATGTCCTGTGCTATAACACAGGATGCTTTATTATTTACATATTTATTTTTTTGAGAATATTATGAGATTTGCTAACACTGTACATCTCTTTATGGGTCTCACATTGTGAAACACCAGAGAGGATGTCTTAAGAAAATCAACTACTGATGGCTGTTTACCTCTTGTGGCCTTTTTAAGACTCATTCTTGACCTTAATGAGTGAGTAAGTTTCAGGTGTTGTATTTTCAGCACTCATGGGTTTTGCTATTCAAATGGATCAAGGACCCCAGCGCCAAGGAGTTTTACTGCACTCTCCCATTTTGGTGGTCTTTTGGCGTTGTTATGCGCAGGATTCCCAAAAAGTTGTCCTACTCATTGATCAAGGGCAGCATTAATTCAGAAGGACCTGTTTACTCTGAAAGAAGAGTAAATCCAATCCAATCCAATCAACCGTGTTGACTGGCTTCTTAGCTCTTTATGACTATAATTAGAAACATTGATCTCTTTAGGAATTGTGCCTCTCTAACTTTGGACAAGTTGATATTGTTTTTTGATCTTTTATCTTACTTATATTATATGTTAACTTTATAGCAGTATTATTACTTTCATGCGAGATCAGCCCATCATTTTAATTTTCCTAATGCTTGATTGTCCATTTTTGAAATATGTTGCTCCAACATTTAATCATAATTTGTGAAGATGACTATCTCAAACTCTGTAGTTATAATCATAATCCACTGAACATTTGAAATGTTTTAAGGCCTCATGTTTGGACTGACTTAATTGGATGTCTTAATTCTAGCAACACTAATTTGGCCGCTGTTTCATTATTTCTCCCACTAAACTATATTATATTCCCTTTTATTGGATGGACAATCAACTTAAGCTGCTATCTTGCCATCTATATGTTAAGAAACTCTAATTTTAACCTTTTTGGATTTTTTTAATTAAAACAAACGAATTATTGCTGTGGTGCTATCTTCTCCTGTTGAACCAACAGTTTCTCATAAATGAAAACTATTTAGTATGGAAAAACTCCGCTGGTTTCAGATTCCTCCTCAAATATATAAATATGGTATGAAGACTTTCGCTTTTGGCTACCAACCACTATTAACTATTGAGAGCTGGGTCAAAGAAGCCCCTGGAGCTTTGCTTGGGTCATCCTCAATGTCAAAATTAGAGTATGGGAACTTTCCACTGTCAACATTTTAGTGCAGCGAAGAACTGGGGCCCCAATGACGTTGCCTATGGAGCTTACTAATAATGGCACCAATGAAAATGCCTCATGTAGTTAGTTGGACATCAATGACGTTGCCTATGATGTCCACAATTCAACTTTTATAATTATTTTTGTTTGTTTTCGTTGTTCACTGAGCACCAAAGACATTGCCTCTGGTGTTCCCCATCCCCTTGAACTGGGTAAAAAGGTTCTCTTCTAGGACAAGTCTTGAGGGGGGCTCTGTCAGGATTTTACCCTTTAAGGTTAATCCTTATCTTGAAAACCTTGACATTTTTCCTTAATGCCAAGTCTTGGGGTGTGAGGCTAAAAGCCTATTAGGTCTCAGTATTAAATCACTAAAATTGTCTAAATCCTCATAGGATGATGTCTTATCCAAATTTTGGATGACTTAATTACTATCTGATCCTACAAGGTGCCTTGTAGATACCTTGTTGTAATATTTCCTTATTCAGTATTATTCCTTCCATACCAATTGGATCTGATATCTCTCTTTTTTAGATAACAGGATATCAACCTTTGTTTATATTTAGTTTTGATAACCCTATAAAAGGGTTTCATTTATTCAATGATCATATATGATTTTTCTCAACCTATAATCTTATTTAATTTATTTAAGATATGATATTTGAGAGTCACTATTGGGCCTTTTTGAAACCTGAAGTGGCTAGACTATATTCAAAGGGCCTCGACGTTATGCTCTGAGTCTAAACCATCTGCCAAGGATCCTAGATTAGGACGCCTATTATAAGCATATTTTTCTAATTAATTTACCCAAATTAAGGCCAACCTTTCAGTTTAGGATAATATATTTTATATAATATATAAATGAATCAGATTGTCCCAAATCCTGTCTTAATATATGACCCCCTCCTACACTATTCAGCTTTGAGAGTCACCTGATCTTGAAAAAGCAAACATGTTTAACAAAGATTATGTCTAGCTGCATAAACTTTGTGTGACATATTGCAATGATGATAGTAAATAGGCTGGTTTAAATAGAAGTTGTGTCCATTTAATAGGTTAATGGGTTTGCTAAGCGGCTGATAATTT